AATATTAATAATCTATTTTTCTAGTTGTTTACTGTTCAGATTTGAGGATTGAATGGTTAGGGCCCAATGCCACTACAAGCATGAACATAAATAATCAAAGTATTGAGCAATGAGTCTGTCGCGGATCCACTCATTTTAAATGAATTCCTCTCAGGTATCCGAAATTCACATTATTCACCATTAATGCGTATTAAAAACGTTTTTAATAACAATTCATATGTATCAGTAGTTTGATTAAATCATATCATGGTTAAGCAATAATGAGTTCAATAAAATCTCCCTGTAATCAAATAAAATGTATTAAACATAACAAACTGACTGAAACAAGAGTCGGAATTCTTACTCCTCTTGATCATACTTTTGTTCTTTTAGTCATCTCACTAGTGCGAATGCAAGTGAAAATAAACTCATACGGACAACATACTTGCATAACCGTCAGATGACTTTTCAGGATTCCGACGGAACAAGTGGCGCACGAACCAATGGTTGGTCGCCGGCTAACATTGGACTGCATCTCCTGACGTTGCTCCACTGCCTTGTAGATCAAACCTATAGGTCTAAAGTTCTGGGTGTGGCCAACCCAAGAAAACCACCACTGTCGTTGGTCGATTGAACCCTTCTTGTGTTATTTATCCTAGATGGAAATGCCAATTGACATTTACTACTCATTGGTTGCTATCATTTTGTCATTTAATATAAGACTTCGTGGATTGGTTGAAGTTAGACATTAACACCGTTGGATGCCGACTCAGTGATCTAATGGTTAAGTGCTCGCGCGTGAAGCCGGTAGGTCCTGGGTTCGAGTCCCGCGGGGTGAGGTATCGTGGATGCGCACTACTGAGGAGTCCCATACTGGGACAAAACGGCCGTCCAGTGCTTCCAGGTTTTCAATGGTGGTCTAGCCTCAACTGACTCAAGATTTCAATCTGTTGTATGTGTTGGTTTTCCGTCGTTCCTACTCGTATATATACATTTCGGTTTATAATATTGACACGGTTTGGTATTTCCTTACCTGTCTTGCGTATTGTCGTATCAAATTCAGTTCGTTTGCGGGGCCACTACATACTTTACTTCTATCAACACAACTATGACCTACCCCACGTGTCGTTTTCAATCTACAAGACTCCTGTGTATATGCTGCGCAGAGTACCTGAACATATAATGTGCGAAATACAAATTTTATGAGCACACAGTCATGAAATTACAAAGTAGTGGCATTCGTTCAAATTGATGACTGATTTGCACTTCATCCCGTAGTTATTACAAATTCAAATATGACATGTTCAGTTGTATTCACCTAGTTCTATCTGTCCTAGATTGGAATTTTCCGGGAATTATTACTTAGTAAATGAATTCATTACTTCTGGTCACCATATTATCGTTGCGATGGTGACTGCGATTGGACACTTGTATGAACATTCAAATATAAATGTTTGGCAGACATTTATCTCGTGCTGAACCTCATCCACGTAATTCATATATATTTTGTCACGCTATCTGCCCTAAGTTTGGAAGAAGTTGGACATATCAGATCTCTTTGTTAGCCACCAACAATAACAAGCTCAGTAATTCGGATGTTACAAACTTGCATGATTCTAGTAACCACACTCTATAGTTATTTATTACCTCGAGTAACACACTTCGCACCTAAAAAATAATAACATATAAGTGATGGTGATTTTCCTGATTCTATTATGGTCATGAATTGCACCAAATCTTTGATTCCAGTTGGAGGCCTGAAATCATTAAAACCCGATTCTGTAATTAGACCTACAGAAGTTCCTGCTTCAAGTATTTCTGATCATACACTTTCTGTTGTGGGACGTTATAATTTACCTATCATAGACGGCAAATCTTCAGTCATAATCTATGGATTTTTCATCTCTGAGTGTGGGAAATCCGTTCCTATCCTAAAAATTCAGGAATGCTTCAATTACAACTTTCCTAGGTGACCACTGAGGGAAACTCTGATGGACGGCCTGATGACTTGTTGACTATAGAATCGAGGTGGTAAGATTTGTTCACAACTTCAAAACGTTTATATTCTGATACTATGGGAGAACATGCTAAGAACTTGGGAAAAAAATGCTATTTCTATTACTGCTGCAATATTTGAGGACCCGGAGAGGAGAATAGATGAGATATTTTATTACAGCGATCCTAGACCGAATACAAGAGAAACATTGACAAAATTGCTCGGACGAAAAATGTTCGTTCAGATGTTGCATGTTTACAGTGTGAAGACGTTACATACTATCACAGAACCGATCTTCAACAGCTTAAGAATAGTGTTAGATTTGTATGATTATGGCCCAGTTCGGCTATGGTACCTTAATAATAAAATTAATCCTGAAATTGTAGATTTGCAACAATGTGACTATCTGATCTATGAGATTTTACGTGGGAGTCCCATCATTGTCTACAAAGACTCGTCGTATCGTGAGAACCAGCAACATAAAGTCTAGTGTTTTTGAAGGAAAAGTTTGGGCTAAAGAGAGAACAGTGTGTTTAATGTGAAAAGATTTGGACTACACAAAATGATCATGCCTGAAGGGCTGAGACATGCCATGTTGATTAATTAACTGTTTCCGCATTCATCGTTGTTGGCCTTCTCTATGTCTCAAGTGTTGAATATCTATTTCCCGTATGCATTTCAGTCACATCGACCAAACACATTACAAGGACTCAGGTGAGTATATTTTGATTTACTTCGTTAATTCCAGTACTAATGAGTTTCTTCTAGGTAGTAATAAACATAACTTTAAAATAAAATCAAAGATATGTTCAAGAAAGCTGTCCGAAAGACAAACCATAAGTCACAAAAAAACCCCAACATTCACTTGAGCTGTGGCAGTTTAAATGCTTGATTCCTCACTTATTGCTAATTCCAAATAAAATAAAACTGTGGTCATCTAGTTCTATCCGTCTTAAATTGGTCTATCCGACTACTTTCAGTCACCATGAAAATATTCACCATTTTTAGTTGACATACCTAATACAGCGGTATTTTTCCATAGCTGAGTTAATTTTGTGAAAATTACTATTTTTGCATTTGGTAAATGAAGAAGGAACGAATCGAACGAAGAAATTTCTTTACAACTAGTTTTTCATCATGACTCTACACTTATATATATATATATATATATATATATATATATATATATATATATATATATATATATATATGATCTAAAATAATGAAATAATACTCATCGAGTGGATACGTTACGTAATAATTACATAGTGACATTTCGACTATGATTTAACAGTGAGTAATTGGAAGAAAGAGGATTAATAATATTCAAAGTAATTATTCGAAAATCAAGAAGTTGCTACGTTGCATATATATGAAGAGAAGAAAGAACAGAACTTCTAAAACGTTTCTCATTTGTTTTCTTTCGTTTTGTTTCTATTTATCTTAATACCTGAAGTCTGCTTACGTTCATATTTGTGATTATTACTGTTATTATTATTATTATGATTGGTCCCTCGACAAATTAGATTTTTTTCGTCTCTTGTTTTACTTCTAAATGCATTTTATTCATAAGCATCCAAAGCCTATAACTAAATACAAATTATCTTGTGTTACACCTAAATAAATTAACTTATGAGATTCATTTTATCTTCACCACATATATGTGAAACAGTAATTGAGGCTTGATTATCGTTTGTAATTAATTGTGACTTTCATAGCATCACTTCAAACACTTAATTCACAAACGATTAGTCTGCAGTCAAATCTTACTGCATTAATAAGTTGTTTTCTTTTTTATTTATTTTTATTCTTTTTTTGTCAATCATTTGTAGATGCGTACATAATAATTTATTCTTGTTCTGCGTTCACAAACAAGCCTATTAAATTATTTGAATATTTCGTGTTCTCTTCATTTCTATTCCCCTATTTTCCTCCTGTCCTTCTTTAAAGTCAACTCAGTATTCTCAATTACACAGAACCTGTTTTCTTTAAATGATTTGAATATAATGCCAATATTATTGAAAATCGTTTGTCATTACATTTCTGAAGAAATCCAAATTGCTTCTTCACAGGATTTACGTACCCATAGGTAGCTTGTGAATAACAATAATAACCTTTGATTGATGACTAGACAGTGTAAAAAGCAGTTGTCAACGTTCAGGCTGTCAATACTCTGGAAATTGGTATTCAGTGAGGTGAGTATAAAGGATGGTATCACGAAAATTGCACGAATCCAATGCTTGTGGCTTTCAAACTGTTTAGCAAAAATAGATAAGTGTGGTTGTCAGCAGTGCTGCTCCGAACAGCCTTCTATCCGAAACCAGTACAATGGCAAATGCTGATAAAAGATGTACTGGAAAGTGTAATCGGAACACATCAAATGGTGCTCACTTGGTCGATGCATAGATTGATGTGAAGTTACCTCAAATAAACTCACATTCGATCGGCTTACATGGGTCAATTGAAGAGGGATGGCCTTTAAGTAGGTCTGTCAGAAAAAAAGCTCAGAAATGGAAGTTACTTCTATCCCGCACCCTCTGAATGGCAGATAGCAGGAAACGCCTGGAAAACCTAATCTCAATGCTATGTCTGTTTCTGGAAGAAAAAACAACAACATAACTACCTAAGTTATTGATAATCATCCAGGAACTGATGAAAGTTGATAAATGGGTACGAATGGAGAATGAGGAATGAACCAATGCTCCTAGAGAAATAGCGGTCCCCTAAACGGCAGCTGAGAAATTGAAGACTGGTCATAGTAATAGTTAAGTTATCTTTCATAGAGTCATTGAGATTGAACCCAAAATTCGTTTGAAGCACAAAATCGAGCTCATAAAAGAGCTAATTAACTACCTAATGCCTTATGATATTTCTGAAGTCACCTTGCTAAAGGTTTATATCAGTGTATATGGTAGAGACTTCCTTCTCTTCAGTTTATACAACACTCCCCCCACACACTGGACACTGCGATCATTAAAAAACTCAATTTTTAGTCTACCGAATGAGCTTGATATAGGCAAATCCATGAGACCCGATGAAATACAATCTAGGTCACTAAAGAATTAGCAAATTTTGTCGCGAACGATGCGGGAGGTTCGATTTTTCAAGGTGGTTACATAGGTATGTACATCGTTCTCCGAAGTGTTGCTTTGCTCTCTCCAAAACATATTGGACTTCAACCTCTTTGTTCGCAAACACATACTTTGATAAAACAGCACCGTTTGTATGCAGTTTTGCCCGGTAAAATTATGCCCTTACCACTTGGTTAGTGTCCCTATTATTTGTTATTTACGTATGTTAGTTTCTACAGTAGTTTCTAGAAACGCAAGTCATGAGAGAAAAATGCCTAAAAGAGTCTCAGACTTCATGTCACGTGTATTCTTTGATAATATGGTAGGCAACTTACATCACTGCTAAATATAATTAGCACTTCTATATTATGTTGGGTCTTGTTCCTTCACTGCTTCTAATTTTTTTCGTCAACTTATTTATTGGGCCAGCAGAGTTGACAGACATACCAGAGGACTATGAGCCACGTCACTGGGAATATCATAAAGTGGGTTATTTTATTCATTTCCTCATTTTTAGCACCCTATTACGCGCTTCATTGCTAAGTACATGTGCGAACATCCCCAGAAGTTGTATGAATCTTCTTTAGCAGAATTGGATGAGGTTCGATATACTAAGGAGCTGGTGTAAGTCGTTAACTATCATTGTTTGTGCAACTAACGGTGTGAACGAATACTCGTATAATCCTTGGTGTTATTTTTGAACAATCAAATAATATGTAACATTACTGATCATCAAATATCAACTTCATTATCCCAGTAAAAACTAAATCATCCTCCAGTCCTAACCATTTCCCTTTTCCTAAGAGTAGTGACTGGAACAGTATGTAACTCCATTCTCCAGAAACATATGTAAAGAAGGGAATATTGTTGTGGATAAAGATAGTCAAAACATCCAGACTTGTTGGGTTTGTTCCAAGAGATTTATGAAGTGGCATTTAGGAACCACTAAGGTGTTTAGCGCGTTCCTCCTTTTTACCTAACCAAGTGTTATAATAAAATAATCGGGATACTAGTCTGTCCACATTTCTTAGAAATATTGTTCACATCTGCTGGGATCACTGAGTAAGTAATTGTGAGGTTAGACGTAGGGTATTAGGGAATGATGGTAAGTCAGTTAGTAACTTTGTGAATCTTCATTGACTGAGATGGTTCGGCCACGTGTTACGTATGCCTGGACACCGATTGCTGTGGTGTTGGGGACGGTTGGAAGAAAGTTTAGGGCGACAAAACCAAAATGTGGCATCAGTCCATTAAATCACTAACATCTGGTCTGAACCATTACGGCAGATGAAGACTATTTAGTTGGGTTCCACGCGACTATCGTAACCAATGGCTTGAAACTGGGTGATATGGCTGAGAATCTATCACAATGGCGTAAGTGTATACACTCCTTGTCTTCCCCTAAACTGTAAGATTAGAATTAATTTATACATTTCTTTCTACGAACTAATTCTTTCTCCTTATATCAAATCCTTATATGAAATCTGTTTTACTACCATTGAAGTAAATGCTTCTATGAATTTGACGATTACCTTGTTGTGTTAATGAGGTGTGGCAACTTGGACCGATGCATAATATGTGCCTGGCTCTATGTTGACTGACTGAATTGGGATATTGCAGTGGGATTAACTTCGACCAGGTGACTAGTCGATCGTAGTCGCTCATCGACCCAAACCACTAATCTTAAGTGGGTATCAGATTATGGTCAGTGACTTTTTATTGCTAATACCCAGAATATTCAGTGGAACTATTAGGACCATAATGTGGCTATATAAAACTAGTAATCATGGGTGAAAATAAGTGTACATTTCTTCCCGTTTCAATCCACCTAGGAGTGTGTATTTATGCAACAGATGATTTCTGCGTATTAGCATTTAGGACGACTATATCAGCCCGTATCCAGATATTCAGTAAACCTTATTTTGTTTTTGATTATCTACATCACAAAGACACCAAAGCCTGTTTAGAAGTTTGAGAGCGATCCAGCCGAAACACGTCCTCCCACAGCACCAGTAAAACAATGCGTATAAGTGTTTTATGTATGAGATCCCACAAATCTTACACAAGGAATAGAAAATTTGATGTTCAGATAGTTCTCACAAGTTTGGAGTAGCAACTGCATCTGATGAAATATATACTATTTCACCGCATATAAGTCACTATTGATAAGAAAAATAGTGTCCCTGAGGCCATCTTTGAGTCTGATGATACAAAAGTTATTAGTCTTCGCGGTTAGCTGTTATGACCGTCACTTTTTGTGGCTATGGGTCTGCTTAACTGGCTTGTGTTTAGTACTGGAAACTCCAATCCGACGACAGAAAAAAAGACTCGTGATGTAGATTTATTTGATCACGGAAGTAAATCAAAATGATGTATGCGTACACTGTCTTTTGTATTATTTGTTTGCATTCAGATTAACAGTCAGGTTTGTATAAATTAAAGTAGTATATAACATTACTTAACTAATCATCTGTTTTTGATACCCACCACTGCTCACGATCATTACGTAGGCTTTTTATTAACCTACGTTTAAGCTGCCTCCGCTCTTCATCGTATTCGGAGCTAGAAAGGCTGAGTTTCCGAGGATCTATCGGTTCTGTTGACGCCACTGAAATCCACTGGTCTTTCCTTACCTTTTGGTTCAATTTATTAAATGTCATTGCTGTTTCCACAGCTTTTTGGATATCATACCAAGCCACCTCGGGGTGGATATCACATTCAGGGTTGACTAACTAACTTTTTCATCATTGATTTGAACTCTAAGGTGTTTTCTTGGTGTGGCTTTTCCATATCCAGTCAGTAACAACGTAGAACTTCGTACGTATGTACATCAGTTCGAGTTGCCATACCACATTAGCACAGAGATGCAGTTGTCCTTTCAAATTCCGTAGTGATAGAGGTAGTAAGAGTATGACCAGTAATACGATAGATTAGGGTTTGGAGATGTTATTCAAGGAGTATAATTCAGTGAAATAAATTTGGAAAGAAAGAAAAAGGGACATGAAGAATTCAAAAGATTAGAATTTGGGAGAGCACAATGAGTGGATGCACCTGCGCCATTGCAAACAATTTCGACTCATGTCATTCAAGGTCTATAACCATTGGCTGCTATCATCTCGCGGGTTAGGCGTTGAAGTATTATTGAGGCTAATATTTTAGACACTATATTAGTCAAACTGATTCCTCTGTGATTATCACAAGAGGACTTTTGTCCTTTCTTATAGACTGGCACAATCAGTGATTGAGACCAGTCAGATGAGATTACGTCCAGTTCCCAAATTCTACCTAAGACCTCAGTTAATCTCACTGCTGATACTGGAGCACCATCCTTAAAAATCTCAGGAGTAAACCTGTCAGGGCCTGCTACTCTCCCTCGTTTCAGATTTCCTATAGCTTTTTCAACTTCGTAAAGGGACGGAGGACCTACATTAACTTGCCATTCAGGTTGATTGGAGATCGTGGGAAACCGAAGTGTGGCTGAAGGCCAGTTGAATTGATCCCTGAAGTGTTTTGCCCATCGATCTAATATCCTGGATTGAGAATGAATAATATGTTCATCTTTTTCTGAGATAGTTTCACCTACAGTTGGGTTCCTAATACCGGTTTCCTTAGCAAGTCTGAATAGTTGTCTGCTGTTGCATATTGCCACTGCCTTTTCCATCTCTCTTGCTTTCACTACCCACCACTGTTCGCGATCATTGCGTGGGTTTTTGTCAGCTTGCGCTTAAGCTGACTCCGCTCTTCACTATGTTCAGATCCAGATGGAATGAGTTTTTGAGCATCTATCGATGCGGTAGATGCTGCTGAGATCCAGTGTTGCTCCCTAACCTTCTGATTTACCTTACTAGCAGATATCACTACTGTTTCCACAGCTTTTCGGATATCATTCCATGCTGCCTCGGGGTGGACATCACTTACATGGCTGCCTAACTCTTTTTCTAGTTGTTCCTGAAATATATTTTTAGCTTGACTATCATTAAGTAAGACCCTAAGAGGTTTCCTTGAAGCGTTTTTCCTACGTCCAGTGAGACGCAGACGAATATCCCTATCCAGTAATGCTCAAACAAATACGTGCTTGAACTACAGTATAATCCATGTATAAACATGTTTTCCAGAATGAACGACAGTCTTCTATCGAGCCCCTTCAACGATGGTCAATGACAATTTAGTCTGAGTCAGTTGTGGAGTTCGCCACGTCAGACGATGTTTTCCCTATATTTAATGTTGGTGTTTGGCGGAAGTAGACGGTTATCTGGCTAGCAGACGGTCGTCATTATCTATTCACTGAACCTCAACACCGTAGGATCCGCTTAAGTGCCCCTCAGTTTGGTCTATTTTATCTACTTGAGCATTAAAATCACCTGACAGTATTGCTACATCAGAGCGTTTAGCTTTTTGAAAGAGGTTGAACAACTTCCTATAAAATTTATCTTTAACTTTATCCGAGCTGCAGTCAGCGTGAGCGTAGGCAAAGACAACGAAAAAGCAACAGCGTGTACCCTTGTGTTTCCGAGTTCTTATTGTCCCTTTTAGTCGGACAGCACAAAAGCAAATGTGTATTAGAATTCTGTCTGACAGCCTGTTATAATTTAGAACTTGATGTTATACCTACACTAACGAGGCCGTGAGAAGTAGCAGCGGGGACTTCAGATATTCGAAGAGTAAATCGTGTCCGTTCTTTATAGTGACAAGTTGAGGTCAAATGAATGACTACATTTGGACCCTGTATGTGCGTTTTGGAGACATAGCGTACGTCAGTGATTGGATATTTAGAGTCTGAACTAAGAAAGCCTATTGTCTTATCTGACACAATGTTCGAACACTAAAAGCTCCAACATGTAGTTTGGAGCCTGGTTTCAGGAGACCAAGAATAACACTTCGTGAACTCGAATCATTAACATTGGTGACGCGTGGCGATAAAGATAATTGAGGAGGGTTAGTCGTGAGGATGAAAGAATTGTCATAAGGTGAGGGAGGGATTCGATCACGAACAAGGTTATCTCGGGTGCTGATAAAGGTATGGGGGCGGTTTCTCACGTCGTCGAAGGATATTTCCTTTTGAGGAACTTGAAAAATAAGCTAAATTAGTGGTGGTCTTGGCGACCTTGGTGAGTGACCGCAGAGCCCAAACGACAATTGCGTATGGCCTTCTTATGGGACGTTTTTGATGTGTTAGTACCGCTCTTCAAAAGGCCTTATAATTGGAGACAGAAATCCATCGGGTAAGGTGAGATGTGACATTTCCAGGGTCGACCACTCCTAACCCCTTCCTTCTGTTGTGAGAAGGCAGCATAAACGAAAGGTTCTGGTTTTCCAAGGAAAACAACTCACTGCTGTCACACACCTCTACAGTCAGCAGTACGACTTTGCCCTCGGGCCTTGGGTTGCCGCTTTTAGTTTTACCGTTCTCCAACTGACCAGCATGGGATAATAGGACTTAAACGAACAATTATTCCGACCAATATAGCTCGATTGAGTCATCACAGTGGACAAGCTCGACCACCAACTCATGTTAGCAGTGTAGTGAAGGAGAACACAGGTGAGGACAACCGAATTATATTTAGCACAAAATTACAGAGTTATTTGGTAAAATAGAAAAACCATACTATAATACTTAATTTGCAAAATGTTCAATAATTGTCTCGAAATTCGTTCTTGCATTTCCATACCAATTTCTTTCTATTTCCGTTCTTCCTTTCTTGATCTTCCCCATCTTCTGCTGCCAGACATTACATTCCTGACTCGCGTCATATACTACTTATATCAATATAAGTAGCATGCACCACAGCAGCAACTATCGTGTGTGAGAATTGTCTGGAACAAATGTTAAGACATCCAAACCAAAATATAGCATCAGTCCATTAAGTCATGTTAATAGGTACAGACTACCTGGTTGGGGTCCGCGTGATTATCGTAACCAATGGTTAGGGACTTTGAATGACGGCTCAAAATCGTTTGCAGTGGCTCAGGTGCATCCATTCTTTATCTTCCCTCGAATCCTGAGATTCTGAATTCCCCAAATTTTCTTATTGCACTGATTTGTATTTTCTTCTCTTGTCGTATCTTTTATCCCGAATCGTTTTTCTTAGCACTGATACTGATACTACCTCTACTATTCTGAGACTTGACCTAATCATTTCATCTCTTTGTGTTTATGGAGCATGACAACTTGAACCTATGTACATACGTACGGGTTCGACTTTGTGAATGACCAACCATCTGACAGTTTAACTGGCTTATGGTTACCCTCTACCACTAATAAACCTTTATGGCACATTGACGGAAGTCCTTCAACTATTGATGAATTTGAGAATCCTAAAGGTAGTCTAAAACTGTGTATAACAAACTGTCCTTATGGATTGACGCAAAAGGTGATGAAGGAACGTGATGCAGTTTTAACTGTTAAACTGACAGAGATATTAACTATAATCTGTAATATGAACGCAATCCCATCTAAGTGATCTCGATCGTTGATCGTTCCAGTTTCTAAGAATGGAAAAAGATGGGACATCAGCTCCATGAGACGTCACAATTCTTCTATATGATGACTCAGGAGAGATTTCAAATGTTCTAAGTGCTTTTTTTATGATTGATTTTATTTTTAGTAAACTTTAGGTGTATGACTGAAGAGTTCAAGCTGTTTTATTGTTACACTGCATTCCCCTTGTCGAATTTTTCTCAACCATTACTGCTATCATTTTTGGTTCACCACTCTTCATTTCTTTTTTGACTTCCTGTCACTTCACGAATAGGAAGTAGCAAATTGAATCAATAGACATTTGCGCTATATTGTATCTTATTTATTTGTGTTCTTCAAGAATTTTTTTTCCACTTAGTATGAGTCAAACTATTAATGTCTGTTGTCCAGTTCGATAAAACTATGTATCCTTTTCATTTTCACCTTTTTCTTAGTGATGAAGAAAGATGGTTTCGTAAGTCTCAACTTGAAAAAGGCGACTTTCGTGCTTGGTATTTCGTCCCAGTTAATCCAACTGGTGTTAATCGCTCATTTGAAAGACTCATGAAAGATCAAGAGGCTGGCCAACTAGTTAGTCGTTGATTATAAAACTCACTTCAGACTAATACTTTGTATTATCTTTCAACTAAATGGAGTTTGTTTTAATCCTAGATTAAATGTTATGAAAAACTTATGTTATTCATTCATTAATAAAAAAATTAATGTATTTACATGTTTTTGACAATTAGTTCCTAATATCAAGTTCAAACTGGATAACTAAACTTTGATTGAAACGGTTTGTATTGTCACTGAGAATTCGGAGAATCATTTCGAGTTATAATAGTCCAACTAATCGTCAAAGTTTTGTCTTTCAGATATATATTAAAGCAGGATAATCTCATCATAAAAACTTTTTAGTTGGTAATCATTTTAACATTAAAAAAGATGGTAAATGCAGTTCAACCATCTTGGAGCCTGACACAGGCTGGTTGTGGTGCTAGAAGAAATATGTATTTAAAAAGTAAGAAGTGTGTATATGCTACTGTGTTGTAGTGACTACATGAATTAGAGTAAATACTAAGACGAGCACGTTGATTATATTAACTATTGATAAGATGTTTCTTTTTTATTGCCTAATGCATTATTTTGAATTGAATCTAAGTACACGCTTTCAGTTTATAAATATTTACCACCACTTAATAATATTACATTTGTAGTAAAAACCATCTCAATGTTTACTAGAATCTCTCGTATAAATCAAAGCTTTAGGATCTGTTAAATATATATGGTTTCTTCGTCAGCTGAGGGGTAGCAGATCTATGTGTTATGATTTGTTTCACTCCTGAAGACAACAACCATCATGATATTTTTAATTGTTTCTTGGTCTGATGGTCCTAATTTAGGAGTCTGAGGATTAAAGAGAGCAAGAACAAAGATTGGTGCAGAATAATATGAATTTATTTTATTTCGTTAGGTTTTCATCAACTGCGTACAACTTAAAATATTTGAAAATCAATGTTATTGCAGATATTGACATTCTTATACATACGAGGGCGATTCAAAATGAATATATGCATTATGGTGTAGCGAAGATTTCAATAGAGTTAATAAGGTCATGAAAATTCTTTGTTTCGAATAGAAAAAGTTTGAGACGGAAAGTTCCAGAACATTGAAATAGTGATTAAAACTTATAGGGTTAACAAACATTAGATGATTGTGTAATGAAGCAACTGGAAGCAGATTAATGGTAATAAAGAAAGTTATGAATTAAAGAAAAATGACTGATGTAATTTAAACTTTTGAAAGAGTTGAAATGATGAATGACGTAATAAATAAAAAGGGTTTAATGTTACCAGACAAAGAAAGATTTATTAGTCTCTTTTTGGATACATAGATCTGGTTTTAGACATTTGATTGCTATCGCTTCGGCAAATTTCAAAAGATTAGAGTTTGATTGTTTGTTAGTCACATTGAAAGACTTTAGTGCATCGACGTGATCTCCTGTGTCAAGGAGATGTCTTGCGATGGCACTGCTGAACGCTTCTAATCCATTTGATCTTAAACTTTCCGGAATATGTTCTTTGAATCAGACGTAGGCTCTCCTGTCCTACCAATGTAACTGCTGTGGCAGATGCATGTAAATTTGTATACACAGTTGGTGATTACATGAAAGGGACACCTATCGACCTTTGATTGTGTTATTCGAATTGTTGGGTGGCTATTGAGTGAACGATTGAACATAATGATTTACTATATTTTATATTAAATTACACTAACCCCAGTTTTTTTTAATTGTATTGTAACTTGGCTACCATGCACAAGAACTTTACGGCCTAAGAACTGTACTTTTATTTATTTATTAGGATTTTGTATTTCGGTAAATTTCATTAATTAGAAATGCTGAATCAAGAGAGGTTTTTAATCATTCAACCTATTCGTATTATTTGATCTTAATTATTCTGTGTAGGTCTACCTGGTTCAAAAAAAACCCCATTCCATTCATAAAACAAACATAAATATATTTTCGAATATTTAAGTAATTATCTCGAACATCTGAAAAAACAACCTCACTCATATTTACATCTTTCTTATGTTCGCTTTGATATATGGAATGACTCATTGAATCTTTAGTAGTTTTTATGCTCATGAAATGTGAACTAATTTGTTTGTTATTTACTGTTGTGGACGTATCATCATGATTTTCACTATATCAGAAGTTTATGCTTAACTTAACTGATTTAGAATAATAATGATAAAACTGGGTAAGATCAAATTTTTTTATTCTTGTACTCTGTTATACGATATTTTTAAGTCATGGAACTTAAAAAAAATATTTTTCAATAAGATTTCAGAGTTATACAATTCTGGAAAATACCACTTAAAACCTTTGGTTTAGATTGTTTTCAGTTTCTGTGTAAGTCCTATGGAGATTAATTTTTTTTTACAGTAGTGATGGGGTTAAAATTGTGAGAGGTAAACGTTCACACGTTATATAATTGGTAGATATTTTAAGAAGTATCATATGGTTAATAATTTTTTACCTCCATTTTTGCTATATGAAGCATCCACGAGTTGCAGATTATTATTTTTATTCAAAATAGATGTAACAAGATCTGAAGCAACTTTCTAACGTTTTTGCAAGCAGCTTCACCGACGTTTGCATTATTATTATTATTATTATTATTATTATTAATTAATTAATTAATTAATTAATTAATTAATTAATTAATTAATTAATTAGAAAAACTAACCATTGAATTTCGTATGTTTACATACGAAACAATCTTGGTCGACAACCTTTATGGAACAAATAGGATCACTTCTACTTTACTGAATTTTAAAACAGTAAAGACTAAAAAACAGACTAAAGAAAATGAAGTCACGAATCTTGTCTTTAGAGAGTAATTTATTGAGGAACAAGTGTTTGTGTCTTTACATTACAGATACTTAATTGATTAATAATAGCATATTTCGACGGAGTCTCGATCTTATTTCCAATAGGCACCATTTTTTCTTAAATTCAGTACAGTATGTTTGAAATATAACAAATACTATACACTACTTAAGGATTTAAACCAAGAGAAAAACAGTTTGTCTTTCGTTAGTTTTTTCTTAAATCGTATCAGTTCATAGTTAAAAAAATATATTTACCTTACCCAAATGCCTGGAACATTGTTGTTAAGGAAAATATTCCATGATTTAGTTTTTAAAAAGCAGATCATATTTGTGTCATAATTTAACACCAGTTTTTATCAATGAAAGCCTCTAAACATATGGGTGTAGAACTCTCGTTTTCGTAACTGTGACCAGCATATCAGAGAATAAATGTCAGTGGAAATAAACAAATTATTTATAATTAGAAGTGGCAACTGTTGCTTATTATGGATAAAATGTGCAGTGTGCAATTGTTTAGGTCCACACACTAAACATTCTCAGGTGACTTCAGTGCAATTACTTAACAAACTGTTACTTTTCTCAATAATTTCTATGTTACTCATAGATGACTTAACGTTTCGTTAGGTTCTTGAGACTGCCATCTTTACCAGCCGACATTTATCGAAGTTCAAAACTTCGTCATGTACTCTAGTTTAGTTGGAAACATGCCACAAAATCAGCTGACTTGGTCTAGAATTTCATTTTTCACTATATAACTGCTCATGATTATTGTTGAAATGGTACGAATATTTTCGATCACATGAATGTGTTTTTATTTTTATAGAATCCCCATTGTTGGATTATTACAAAAGTCAACAGGGATTACTTCTTAAGATTAATCTGTTAGTAGTCCAGGGCGAAAAAATATAATTCCAGGTAACCGGATCTACTTGTGGAGTTGGTTCGTAATCATGCGGTTTCTGGTGTAGACGGGATCTTATTTTTACTTGAAATCTGGTATTTTTAGTGTCTTAAAACCCCGTACAAATAGGGTTTTATTCTTTCTATATATTTATTTCTACGTTTCTATTTGTTAGATTTCGGAAAACAATCAAACTTAAAAATGCTTAGATGATTAACTATCACCACTAGTTTATCTAGCATTAGAGTGGCGAAATCATGTTGTAAGTTAGCTGTCTGAAAGTTTTAGCGGAACAATGTTTTGTGGTTTTAAAATCTCAGATACATTTTTTATTATGGCAGCATACATGACTCGGAAACACGGTAGGTTCCACATGACAACAAAGGAAGAATCCAAAAGTAATTATTCTAAATGGTATTTCTATGATATGGTTCTCATGAAGTGTGGCTAAACAAAATACTTGGAAAAAATGGGATAGTTTATAATTTAGGGAGGAAGAATGTATTTTTAAAATTTCAGCGAATGAATACGAGGTAAATCCAACGTTTCCACCAGTATTTTGTTTATATCCAGATTCTTGGAATAGTTTCCAATCTCGTACAGGTGGGTACAGACCACCTGGTTGGGGTCCGCGTGATTATCGTAACCAATGGTTAGGGACTTTGAATGACGTGGTTCAAAATCGTTTGCACTGGCGCAGGTGCATCCATTCTTTATCTTCCCTCGAATCCTGAGATTCTGAATTCCCCAAATTTTCTTATTGCACTGATTTGTATTTTCTTCTCTTATCGTATCTTTTGTCCCGAATGGTTTTTCTTAGCACTGATACTGATACTACCTCGACTATTCTGAGACTTGACCTAATCATCTCATCTCTCTGTGTTTATGGAGCATGACAACTTGAACCTATGTACATACGTACGGGTTAGACTTTGTGAATGACCGACCGTCTGATAGTTTAACTGGCTTATGGTTACCCTCTACCACTAATAAACCTTTATGGCACATTGACGGAAGTGCTTCAACTATTGATGAATTTGAGAATCCTAAAGGTAGTCTAAAACTGTGTATAACAAACTGTCCTTATGCAGTTTTAACTGTTAAACTGACAGAGATAATAACTATAATCTGGAATATGAACGCAATCCCATCTGAATGATCTCAATCGTTGATCGTTCCAGTTTCTAAGAAAGGAAAAATACTCTTGTAACTTTCACAGAGGTTTTAGTTTGACTAAAATAAATATTAACCTCCATGACCATCGGACACCTAGCTAGTGTCTGCGAAGAGTGAATGTGGGAAAACGAGGATTGTTTAAGACCTGAACGTGGTTGTGTTAACCAAATATTCACCCTTCTTCAGATTTTAGAAAAGTAAATATAGTGACTTCGGAATATCGTTCCACTCTTTATCTTCCTCTCGTTCTTGAATTCCAGTATTCATTCATACATTCTTTTTTTTCTTTGTCTTTTAGAACTATATTCCCAAGATTTATTCTTTCTTTTTATGATTACTATCACAGTATTTCAAACTCTTATTTTCTGTTCATTTCGTTGTGTTCATGTCATATTGTCAACTTAGGTCAACGCATATCTGTCCCAAGTTTTATGTTGATGATTTTTGTCTGTCTGATTAAAAGTGTATAATATAGATTTAGAACAATAAGGTTAATACATAACAAATACTTCCACCGAAAGGTTTTTCATTAAATTGATTTTATTTCTAAAAGCTATACAATCGTATTTACATGAAATAGACATATTTCTTCATTAACTATTTGTTTATGGTCTGATTATGAAACCAATGGAAATTTCATTTTACTTAATAAAAAGGAAAAAATGTTTGAGTGAATACTTTAAAAACTCTTTTTTTTGGGTTTTTCAAACAATTAATAATTATCATACACATAATTCCCTCTTATTACCTCTACCACTATGGGATTTGAATCGACCACTGTATCTCTGTGCTAATGTGGTGTGGCAACTCGAACTGATGTACGCACGTACGAAGTTATACGTTGTTACTGACTGACTGACTGAGAACAAAGATTCTAGTAGTATAGCATAAATTCATGTAAGTAATTTAAACTCATTATGTAATTATAATTTTAAATATCACGAATTATAAGCAGCTGATGAGAACCTACAAGGTAAAAATGAATTCATGCTATTCTACTAGAATCTTTATTCTTACTCTTTTTAAAATCAACAAATAATCCTGAGATTTAACAGTTAATAATGTAACCTTTTAACTTCATATTTCACATACTCTATGATGTATGTAAATAAATGTAACACATTAGAAATAGAATGCTTTACTTATAATAATTCACATTACTGTAGTACATTTTTTCCTCAAAGACAACCAATGACTTTTACACATTTTTAAAATTACAAAAATAATTATTTTTATTGATAACTAAAATCTGATTCATTTAAATAGTTGCATGTAATTACAAACCATATTAGAATATGATAGTCTTTAGAATAAACTTCCATTTATTGAGAACAAAATTGAAAACATTTTCGTAGTGATCGTAAATGAAGAATTCAAATTATAATAAATAGATTACAAGTATAAGTATTTACTTTAGATGTTAACCAATAAATTGTGATAAAAATATATTAAATATTGAGATGGTGGAGAAGATTTGTAGCTCAGGTGGATGATTTTGATGGAGTTTTGTTCTCTGGGCTGGATGGTTTAGTCATGGAGCTTTCATCGTTCTTCTGGACGACATCATCAACACAAACTTCAGATAGAAGTGAAGTGTTCGAATTTTTCCATTTGCGTTTCATAGCGTGTTCTGAGCTTAAGGTCAGTAAGAACCAATCAACGTCGAGGTGTACAGAACAAGCTGTGAAACGCATATGGAGAAATTCGAACACTTCATTTCTATCTGAAGTTTGTGTTGATGATGTCGTTCAGTAGAACGATGAAAGCTCTATGACCAAACCATCCAACCCAGAGAACAAAACTCCATCAAAATATATGCAGTACAATAGACAATACAATTTTACTTTTTACATATATAGTATGAAAAAACATAGCATACATTTATACTTCAGTTTTATAAGGTTAATAACCTATCTTTATAGTAGTGTAGGATGAATAAATCCAGTACCATTCATAGTCGTTTAAATAATGTAAATAGTGTTTAGTGTCATTTCTCATAAAGAAATTGTGGATACGTACTGCTGAGGAGTCTCACAGTAGTACGAGACGGCCGTTCAGTGCTTCCAGATTTTCCATGGTGATCTAGCTTCAATTGACTCATGATCTCAACTATTGAAATTACTATTTATTTAAGTTAAATAGAATTTATACAATACCATAGAGTATAAATGACAGGAATAGTTTTTTTTGTAAAATAAGTATACCAAAAATAACTAAGTTATTATACAATGAAAATTTAGTGTGAAATAATTAACTTACGCTGATTTTCATCTGATCTAAGCGTTTCATACAGTTGCTTCCCTTAACGAGTTTTATGATTCAAGCCAGAACAATAAGCGAAGTAGAATCATATGAATTCGTAATTTCTCATCAGCCGCTTACAATTATTTACGTGTTCAAGTATAACATTGAATGAATCAATCAAAATTGATGACAGAAGGAATTCGAGTAACGAAGATTATAAGTTATGACCTTATTAAATCTGTTCACAAGAAGTTGTAAGGAATTCAAAAACACAGAACAGGAATGAGACGGTGATCAAATCAAATCCAAAAATAGATAATATTGATTACATGGTAGTTAATCTAATTATATTTTTCATAATGCACAATGCAAACAGCAATAGTAGTCGTAATAAACTACTTTATTTATCATTTATGTTATGCTTCAAACAAATTTCATTATCTATTCATATATACAATGAATTCTAAATATACAGGATAATTGTTTCTTGAGGAATTCATCCTATCATAGTAAAACTGAATGATGGAAAACTCTCCAAAAAAAATTTAACCAATAGTATGCTTTAACTTCAGTGTCCAATCACAACAGATTAAGACTAAATTCCATTTGAATACTGAAATGTTTTCATTATCTAGTAATTGCTAAATGAATTATCCAATAATTTAACTATCAAATGATGAAAGCTTAATCCATTTTCAAAATATAATAGATAAAATATCTTGATATATATGTCTTACTATCTATTTATCACATATGTCACTTAACAAATTATATTTCACTAAGAAAACAGAAAAAAAAAGGACTTTCACTTTCAACAAACATTTACCTTGGATACTCAAAGTTCACTAACTTGAATGTGTATATGTATCTCGAATAAACGCTAATCAATCATTTAAAATGTAAAACAATACGTTAATAGTTCCAATATTGTTATAATGACCAAATATACTTAGTTTCTAATGTTGATATGGTGTTTTATCCAAAAGTAATCAAATAACAATGAAAAAGATGTTTTTCTGCAAGAAGTTGAAAAATCAGTTACGCCCTAGTTTAGTCGTAAAACAGTCGATTTTTAGTAGCTATATATTTGACTACAGTTAGATAATTTCTGTTTGTTATCGAAATATACATTTCGCCAGTTCTCGCATATAATTATCGACTTAACTCACTTTACTGAATAACGGAATTAAATAAGTCAAATACGAGAATGGAATTTGAATACTTATGTTTCATACAATAATTAATCAGAACAGACAGTCAGAGAATCACAGTGAAGGAAGCACAGAGGTGAAATAGAAGCAAAATGAAAAGACGCACATTGGAGAAGGTGAGTTAGCCAATTCAATTTAACCAAGTGTGAATCAATATTTATAGTTAGACAAAAATAAGTTACAGACATATGATGTGTAAGATAAGCAATAAATGACAAGGTCAAAATGTAACTCGAGAAGAATGATTGAATTGGTTTAATCAGAAGCTCGAATAAATTATCATGGTTCAACATAATACCAGTCACTATAGATTAATTTCAATGACTTTACTAATGATTAACTTTATCAATTGATTTTAGAAATAAGCATTCATTAAACTGGTATAAAAATTAATGTGATACAATCAATAATATGCGTAAATAATTGAAAATTAAATAGAAAAGTGCAATTTATCCATATACTACTATACCATAAATGATTACATCATAAGATAATATTCAATAGTTCATATTTATTCATTTAATATATATATTAACACATTAATTGCCCATTTTAAACTTTCCTCTGGATCTACTACTGTTTATTTTATCAATATATATTTTATACATTAGAACAAAGAATAAATAAACGAATTCCTACATAAAGACACATGAAAATTCGATTATTATCAATTATAACAATCATTATACAATGTATTCCATCCATTTTATCAGCTACTTCAAATAATCAAAAAGAAAGTTCATCATCTTATTATTATGTAGTACGTTCACCAAAAATTGAAAAACGATCATATACAGAAGATGAAGCATTAATACATCTGAAAGAAAAAACAAAAGTTGATACTGCTACTCAAACATATACAAAAACAACAAATACATCCACTTCACCTTTGTCTCCAGCATCATTATCAATAACACCATTATCATTATCATCATCATCTTATGGTAATAATGTGAAAAAGAATAATGGTGCATACAATGTTAAACCTAATGTAACTATGAGTGCAGAAAGTATATATCAAGATAAAAATTCATTGAAATATGTGAAAACTGTAAAAAAACGTCGAGAAATTAGTGAAGTTATTAAACATATACCAAAACCGACATATAATCAACAATCGAATAAATATACTGATCAGAATAAGAAAACTAATAGTTATAATGATAAAAAGGAAACAAAGAATCACAATAATGTTAATAAGAAATACACATATTCAGGTAGTAGTAGTAGTACTAATCGTAATGATAACAATCATCACAATGATAAAAACCACAATAATGATAATAATAATTATAACGGTAATAATAATAACTACAACGGTAATGACAATAACAATCACAATGATTACGATAGTAATAATGATAACGATTATTACAATAATGGCAATAACTACAACGGGAATGACAATTACAATAGCAATGACAATAGTTACAATCGTAATAACAACAATTATAATGATAATGGCAATGACAATTATAATAACAATGACAATAATTACAATCGTAATAATAATAATGGCAATAACTACAATGGCAATGACAATTATAATAACAATGACAATAATTACAATCGTAATAATAACAATTATAATAATAATGGCAATGACAATTACAATAGCAATGACAATAGTTACAATCGTAATAATAACAATTATAATAATAATGGCAATGACAATTATAATAACAATGACAATAATTACAATCGTAATAATAATAATGGCAATAACTACAATGGCAATGACAATTATAATAACAATGACAATAATTACAATCGTAATAATAATAATGGCAATAACTACAATGGCAATGACAATTATAATAACAATGACAATAATTACAATCGTAATAATAACAATTATTACAATAATGGCAATAACTACAATGGCAATGACAATTATAATAACAATGACAATAATTACAATCGTAATAATAACAATTATAATAATAATGGCAATAACTACAATGGCAATGACAATTATAATAACAATGACAATAATTACAATCGTAATAATAACAATTATAATAATAATGGCAATAACTACAACAGTAATGGTAATGATGATAATAATAACGACTACTATTCACATGATTACATCAAAAACACTGGCAGTTACAATAATGATGCAAAATACAATGCTGAAAATTACAATCGTGATTATACACGCAATGCTTATATATCTGACAATAATGACCGTAGGAATAATCGAAACTCCAATAGAAATTACATGATTAAAAATACTAAATTTAACAAGTATGCCAACAGATATAATGGTAGGCAAAGAAATAATAGAAGATATAATAATAATAATAATAATAATAATAATAATAATAATAATAATAATAACAAAGCCTATAATAACCAAAGACGTTATAATGAAAATCGTAATATCGGGAATAATAACAATTACAATCGTAACGGTAATCAAAACAATCAGAATGGCTATCGTGCTTACAAGTACAACTACAATGGTAATAATAATAATAATAATAATAATAATAATAATAATAACCGGAATAATTTCAATGACAAATCTAATTACAATTACAATAATGATCGTAATAACCACAATAACAAACGAATTAATCACAATGTCAATTATAATATCAATAACAATAACGCTTACAATGGATATGATAATTACAAAACCAATAATCATCCTAAACGTAATATACCCTATCAAAATAACAATAATTATAATAACGTTGAAAATTATGTGAATAATGATAATAGTAATAATAATTATCATGATATGTACAATACTAAAGATTATGAAACTAACCGAAATCCTGTTAATTACGGTAGTAGTTATATTAGAAGTAAATTAGGTAAATCAGATTATTCTACTCCTGCAGAAAAAAGTAATGAACAAAATTATTCATCAATGCCAAATACAGAGAATGAACAATCAAACAATCAAGAAAGTAATCAATATGGGAAAGAAAATGAGAAAGATCCAGATTTTAATCCAGAAGGACAAGATGTTAATCCAATGGACAGTTTAAGTGCTTTTGGTGGTATGTTCGGTTTAGGACAAATGGGAAATGGAGGGTTAGGTTTTTAAATTTTATGCTAACTAAATGATTAATAATTACTCAAATTCATGGATATATTTGTAACAAAAATATGTTTTATTTTTAAAATATCTTTGTTCAACCGATATCATACAAAAAGTTAATAAAGGCTTATTTATTAAACTAGATTTTTCCAGTTAAAATGATTTAATATTTGTAATTGAATGTCATCTTTGTATGTTTATCATGTTTTTTTTTCTAAGATCTGAAATAGAATTATGAACCGATTTGATGATTTGAACGCTTTTCTCTCAATTCATTCATCATTGATTCATAATTATGAAAAAGAACTTTAAATGATAAGAAACCACCCAAATTTATGTTTGGTCTTTTGAATGCTTATGAAGAATTTACATATTACTTACTTACGCCTGTTACTCCTCGTGAAGGAGCATAGGCCGCCCACCAGCATTCGTCATCCAACCCTCTCCTGGGCAATCCTTTCTAGCTCTGTCCAGTTGTAATTCATCGTTTTAATATCTGCTTCTATTATCCGACGCAATGTGTTCTTTGGTCTTCCTCTTTTTCGCTTCCCTTCAGGATTCCAAGTTAGGGCTTGCCTCGTGATGCAGTTTGACGATTTGCGTAATGTATGTCCTATCCATTTCCATCGTCTTTTCCTAATTTCTTCTTCAGCTGGAAGTTGGTTTGTTCTTTCCCACAGAAGGCTATTGCTGATGGTATCTGGCCAATGGATGTTGAGTATCTTGTGTAGACAGCTATTTATAAATACTTGTACTTTCTTGATTGTGGTTGTTGTAGTTCTCCAAGTTTCAGCTCCGTACAATGGAATTGCCTTGACGTTTGTATTGAAGATTGTGGCTTTGATATTGGTTGTGTATTGAAACAATTCAATATACATATATAACCTAAAAAATAATTACTACTTGAACATCTATGCCAGTTAACCCTCGTAGAACAACACACGTCTCCAAACAGCAAACTCTAACTTATCGTGTCCTGGGCATTTCTTTCTAGTCCCTTTCAAGTGCTATCCATTCTTTCGAGATCTGCCTCCGATTCCCAGTAGCATGTGTTTTTAGCCTTATTCTTTGAAGATTTCAAGTTGGGACTTGCCTAGTGATGAAGTGATTTCTGGTGATTTCCTCAATGTATTTTCTATCCTCTTACATCGTCTTTTCATAATTTCTGATTCAACTGAAAGCTGATTTGTTCTCCACCACAGTAGATTGTTGCTGATGGTATCCGACCAACACATATTAAGTATGTTGCATAGACAACTGTTTATAAATACCTGTACTTTCTTGATGGTGGTTGTAGTAGCTCAGAAAGTTTTTCCCTAGTACAATAAAACTGTATTGACGTTTGTATTGAAAATTGTGACTTTGATGTTGGCAGACAGTTGTTTTGAGTTCCAGATGCTTTCCAACTGTGGGAATATTTTTCTTGTTTGGCTAATCCATCGCCTTACTTCTATATCACACTCAACTAATTTATCAGTGATACTGCTGGGGTGCACAAATCTTCCTATCTCTTCCATAGATTTTCCATCAAGTCTGATTGTGCTGATGTTCTCTGCGCCTTATTTCAGGATCTCGGTTTTTGTCTTCTGTGTGTTCAAGTCTCCTGATGCGTAGGCTGCTACTACACTGACTGTCTTCATCAGCAGTTTTTGGTGTATATGGCATGGAAGAGCTAGGTGATGTGTGAAGTTCAAATCATCTAGCTGCATTCATGCTGTCCATTGTATTCTATACTTACCCTCAGATATCGAGGCCTTCATAATCCAGTCAACCATCAGGAGAAATAGAAAGGGTGAGTGTAAGCAGCCTTGTCTGACTCCGGTCGTCACATGGAATGCATTTGTCAGCTGTCCTCCATTTACGACTTTGCAGTGTAGTCCGTCATATCAATTCCTGATGATTATGACAGCCTTCTCATGTATACCATAGTGTCAGAAAAGGTCCCATAATGTTCTCTTATTTACGCTGTCAAACGCCTTCTCTGATTGTCGAGGAAGTTGATATACAGTGACGGATTCCTCTCAGTTGATTGCATAACAATGATCTGCAGTATCACGATTTGGTCTATGAATGACCGATCCTTACGGAATTCAAGCTGTTGATGTCAAAGTTTTGTGTCTACTGAATTTTTCATTCGGTCCAGCAACACTTAGTTGAAAACATTTCCTCGTACTGACAGTAATGTGATGCCTCTATAGTTTTTAAGTGTGAGAACCATAGTTCTCACACTTGCTGAGATCTTTCTTTGATGTCTTGATGAGGTATCCTTCTTTCTAATCTGTTGGTAATTGTTCTTCCTCTCAAACCTCCTGAATAGAACATGGAGCATGTCTGTAGTTTCTTCTATACCTGACTTCGTTGGTTCAGCTTGTATGTTGTCAAGTTGTGCTGCTTTCCCACACCTGATTTTTCTGATGGCCATCCTGATTTCTTCAGTCGTTGGTGGAATGAAATCTATAAAAAAGTTTGTGTATACTGCATCAATGTCCGGTGGGTTCAATTTGGTCGGTCTATTCAAGAGTTCTCCAGCGTTCCACCCACCTGTTCCTCTGTTCTTGAGTGTCAGTGATTGGCTTTCCCTTTTTATTCTTAGCCGGCCTCTTTTGTTTACTGTATTTCCCATCTAGTTTATTCGTTGTGTCATATACTTGTTTGATATTTCCTCAACGTGCAGCTTTTCTCACTATCGTTGCTAGGTCTTCTATGTATTTCCGCTTGTCGGTTCCAATTCTCCTCTTCGCCTGCTTGTTTGTTTCTGTGTATTCGGTTTGTGCCTTAGTTTTCCCTGCTATTGTTTGGCTGTTGTTCGTTGCTTTCTTGTTCTTCCTTCTTTCAATCTTGTCCAGGGTTTCGATGGAGATTCATTCCTTATGATGGTGCTTGTTGAGGCGCAGAACCTTTTGTTACTTTGAAGTGATTGCTTCTTTGATCCTCTTTAAGTCGGTCTCCATAGTGACTTGCTTTTCTTTTTGAGTAGATCATTTAACGCTTGGAACCTGTTGTTGAGTTATATCTTTTATTCGTTGAATTTGTCAGTATCTGTAAGAAAGCTTTTATTAAACGTCAAGTTATCTAGTGTATCTTTAACTCCAGTCTCATCATTGCAAATAAAACTGGTCATTTTAGTCGATATCAATATATTAGGTTCCGGGAAGGAATTCCCAGTACAAGGCATAGGTTATTTTACAAATTCGTTTTTAAAAAAAAATTCACTTTTATGTTTGATCTATTAACACTAATTTGATTGCCTTTCATTTCTTCAAAGTATAGACAAGTAGTATATCGAGGATTACAGCAGTTCCAGCGGAGTTCTTCGGTATTTAGTAAGCTTTCTTTGGAAATTTGATGAATTGATTATGCGATTAATATACAGATTTGTGGTTAATGAAAGCACGATTTAAAAAACAGAAAGTTCAGAGCAGGAATCTCTTTTCAACGAATTTCTTATCAAGCTGTACAATCGTACATATATATGAAAATTTCGTTAAAGTATTAGTTCCGTGAAGACATATGAACATGGAATAAACCTGACATAATAGAAAGATTATAATGCCACATTACCTAATGTGAATAATAACAATAAGAGATTGTGTGTGCAAAAAGAAAGCCCTATAAGATTAATAAGTTAGCAGAGGATTATAATGTAAATGAAGTTAGATGATCAAAATGTTTTTGTTACGATAATCAAAGGTAATAGAGGGGCTAAGTGAAATTAAGTGATATCAGAAACAGCTATGTATAAAATCATGAGGATATGAAACATAATTAGAAAGAGGGGGATATTTTAAAATATGAAATATAGTAGTAATAATAATAATATTTTAAGGCCAAGGTAACTATAAAGATAACTCGTAACTCTTTTGTGCACACAGTTCTGGCTTCAAATCATGGATGGCTAGAGCTTCTGATGTTTAAGGGGTTGGGTACTAAGAAATCTAGGTAGATTTGGACGAACTGTATGCACAGCCTTAAAATCAAACTGTGCATCAGTTGAGTAATTCGAGGCCTGTTTGAATATCTGGGCTACCTGTTCCTGACATCTAGATATTTTAACAAGTTATCTGTCTTTTGTTTGTTTCAACAGATCATTATCTCAATTAATTGCATAACCTATTCAGTTAGGAAAGAGCACAACCAGATACATTATGGTTTTTTGGCAATATGTATCGAAAAGAATGTGCACTATTTAAATGTCGATTTCTGAACTGCTAACATCTAATTGGTGACCACTCAAAATTTATCGTCAGGATCAGTCAAGAAATAAGAAAGGGAAACTTGTTGAAATACTTTGCGCTGAGAATTCTATATTGTATCAAAAATATGATATTGAATAAAGCTAATAATAACACAATAGCAATAGAGTCGATTATGTGTTCAAGAATGGAATTTCTAACTGCTTTCTTCTCACTCTTGTAGAACCACACTCGAACACGTTCTCGCACCGCAGTTGAAAGCAAGTGCTGGTTACGGCGTATGCACATTGCTCAACAACAGCAGGTGAACTGGTAGATGCATAGAAATCTTTATATAGAAAACAGAACTGGAATGATCATTATACGAATTTCCATAGCTGGGTCCCATTACGTAGAAAGAGAAAATTCACTCATTATCCTCATGGATTAAGCGAATATGCTCTAATGATACAATAGATGAGGAACTACTTCAACTTCGACAAATATTCATCAGAAATGGTTATTCATCTAGATTTGTCGACAGGAACTTAATAACAAGACGACATCCTGAAAAAGCACCAAAAACTCAAAAGAAAACATTTTGTAAATGTTGAATTTAAGGGAGATACGACTGCCGAACTCTTTAATAAACGGATTTCAAAATCCCTGAATGAAACACTCTATTCAGTCAAGCTCTGTATTGTCTTCTTAAGCCGACCTACCATTCACGGATGTGTCAATGACAAACTTCCGCTTTGTGCCACATCAATGTGCATCTTTGGTCTCTCATATGGGGAAGGTTACATTGACATCAAAAAGACGATCACTTTCCAAACGCATATCCTTTAAGAAGAGAATACAAAACAGCTACCAGTTTGATACAGAAGCACTTAATCATATTTGGACACGTTGCTCTAGAAGAGTCTTTTTTAAAATAATCCACACAATAAAAGGGACTGGATCAAAGGTAGGCGGAATCAAAAGCTTATCCACTGTTGATGCGTTGGTGATCCACCAATTCAAACCCGAACTCTGCGTGCAAAAACAATACATCCAAACTCCCATTTTTCTTTGGCCCT